AAAAGAACTGGGCGTCTTTACAAATGAGATCGCCGTGTCCGCGTGCTGTCGACTAGAGAGACTTGGGACCACTGACTAGACGCCACACAAAAAAGGCCATAAAAGAACAAAAGAAAACAGCGGGCAACACATAGGTGGCCTCGACCCGCGTGATACAAGCTATGCGAATAATACACGGGGATACAATTCTAACAGTTCAATTAACAGATATATAAAATCCAGTTTTATTTTTTGTCGCTAGAAAATTTAGAACAGGGTCGTAGACGATTACATAGAGCACAATTTTCAAAAAATTGTAGAACCACTGATAGCGAAAACAATATCGAAAAAATGAAAAATAAATCGGATGTAATACCACCACTATTATCCAAATCTCGAATTAGGGATATTCTTCATGATAGACTCCCAATGTGTTATGATTCTGAAATTTCAAGAGTAGATACACTCGCAGGTAATTTCTTATCATGCATAAAAACTTTGTTTTTCACCCTTATTATTTTATACCCGTTATTTTAATTACTAGCGGTAGTCTCCAAAACTTTTCATAAAAAGTCATTTATCAAATATCTACTAGCAAATTAAATTTTTTCTAGATACACGACCAAAGCCGAAGTCTCGATTTAGGAAAATTCAAGTAATTTCAAGTGATACAGACAGTGAAAATGAGGAAAACAGATCTACTTATTCCATAGGTTTGATACCACGAAAAAGGTCCAGGTCACACGAAAAGTTTGTTGGTAAAATTTTCTAAATTTTATTTGTTGAATAAAGCCATTAAAATAATATATTAATTTAGATTAGATAATTGGTATATTATATTTTTTATGTATAGAAAACAATCCAAAGAAACAATTAATTGAAAACATGGAGTTAATGCAAAGTGAGGATAACATTGAGTTAAATTTACTAACTCCTAACAGAAGACGGCCATCATGTGCCACCATGTCGCAACAGTTAACTTCATCAATAAAAGAAAACACCAAAGAACTCAGGGGTGAAAAAGTATCCAATGGTAAGAAACAAAATTGAAAATCTATTTCTGATCGAACTATTCTTGGTACATAATTTTTAAAAAAATCTAGATTTGTCGACTGCTGATATTGTCCAACTATTTGAAAATTTAAAAGACTATTTTGATAAAAAATTGGAAAATGTACGCGATAGAATTGGATACGATTTGAGGACGAAAATAACTGAATTAAAAATACGATTATTGGTGCGAATTTGACTTCTACGGCTGGACCTTCTTTAACTTCGACGAAAACACGTCTATCTATCAAAGTTCCAATTGAAACACTGGATGAATTTTTGAATTATGAGAATGAACTAAAGAATAATAAAGATGAGATTGAGGCACTGGTAGTGTATCCAACATCTTCAATGAATATTGTCTTCTTTTTAATATTTTGTTCTCAATTTTGCTTTCTCTTTATACAGCGAATGTTCTTCAGAGTTTTAATTAATTCACAAACTAAAGCGAGTGCATGCATTGCGACAATAATGACGGCTACTTTAGGCAAAGCAGTAGTGTTGATTCCCTAGTAGGGGAGCCCCTAGTACGTAAGGCCCTAGACGATAGTTGCGTGGATGGCGCTCGTGCGCTGACTTTGGGGATATGCCCCCCTGCCGACAGTTCGTCGTTGTACGTGAGCCATGGCGGCCGCATTCTGTGTGAAATAAAGTTATCCATATAGTCCATCTAAGTGATTGGTGTCAGCAATCCCATTACCCGTATCAATAAGAGAAAACGCAGATCTCCAGACGATTCGAGATACAATCACGTGCATTGGTTCACGTGAAAACATA